GGTCACCCACGATATTATGCATATTTGTAGAAAGTGGTCGACGTTGGAAAAAGAGTTGAACAAATGTCGACCTTTGCCAAATTCAACACATGCCTTCATTGTAACGAACACCGATGTTTTCATGGACATTATATAACTAAAGTAATGTCGAACAAATACAAACCTCTAGTTAAAAACAGAATCATTTTAATGCAATTTGTATGTGTCATGGGCGCAGCCATCTTGGTTTATCTAATCGAAGGGAGACAACTCCATTTATTCTTCTTGTTTTTTTTTAAGTTCAACATCAGAAACTGTCTGTCCGTTAATGTTCGGGCGGTTTAAATTAAAATCTGTATCACAAGAAATATAGTGGATAAGAGTCTTGGATCAACCAATAAAAAATTGTACTTTTTTAATCAAGATATAAACTAGGCTTAGTCCGAAACATCTGCCTCTATTCCAGCCTCTGACTGCTAAGGCCTAATTGTGAACATTTGTCGACTGGAGAGGGATCAGAAAAACTGGGCCCTGTTTTATGAAGATTTTCCGCACTTCCAAAAGTGCAGGTTTTCCTAGACATCTTTATTTTACCTCGAATACAGCAAACCCTGATACTGGTAGGTAGGTAGATGAAAAAGGGCAACATCGCTATTTGTCCATTTTATTTGTATGTTGAAATGAGGCTCATCAAATTTACTTTGACCTTTGAAACATTGTCAAGATCAATCTCGAAACAGAATTTCAAACTACAAATGTAGTGAGATCATATTATTAACAATCTGAGGTGATTTATCAGACAGAAATGGTAAGGTGAAAGAAAACAGTCGTTTACGCTATGATTGTTTAAAGCTAAGATTCCATATACGCGTGATGCGAATCCGTCATGCGTAGTCATCCGTCATGCGTTAAAAATCGAAATGGTTGGTTTAAAAGGGTATGATTCCATATATGCTGAAGCGGTATCCGTCAAATGTTCTCCGTCATGCGCCAAAAAAAAAAATCGCCGGGTGTAGCGATTTTTGACACATCCGGACGCATTTCCGCGCGGAGATCTCCCAAATGTGACGTATTTTGTGGGGATTCCCTGTCTTTTTTCCCGCCATATTTTGACAACGAAGATGGGGAAATCAACAAACTTCTGAAAAACTCATAGAGTTAGTGAAAAAACACCCTCATCTTTACGATAATAGATCGCAATTACACCATGTTCTCGTCGTAAAAGTAGGATGTTGTGGACCCAATAGCGATGCTTCCTTTTTTCTTCTTCTTCATTTTCTTTTTCAACCATTCCATAGCAAGCCTGGCAATAAAACTTCATCTTGCTCCAGCATAAATTTATGCACCAAAGCATCCATCTGT